TCAGTGGTTTCAGCCCATCAACGAGACACTTAACCACAATCTTGTAATTGACATTACAGAGACTGATGGGGCGGAATTGGCTCATAGATTGAGGAGAGCCAACTTTGGGGATCAAGGTTAGAAGTGTGCCATTGATGCTTCTGATAAGATTCGGGTTGCCAAAGCAGGAAGCCACGAAGGAGTGGAGATACGCTGGTAGAAGAGGGCATTGTACCTGTCCTTCCCTAGATCCTTCATTCCCTTCATTCTTGAAACAATATCTTTCACTTCCACTAAGAGGGGAAGTCTGCAGAAGTTTCTGAGGGCTGCTTCGTTTGCCAATGGGAAGTCAGCAGCTACATCAGGTCTTTCTCCTAATGGCTCCTTGGTGAAAATGTGGATGTAAAACTCCCTTGCCATCATCTAAAGTTGAACAGGATCCGTGTTCCACTGATTCAGGTTATCCTTCAACCCCTTGATCTTGTTCCGTTTCCTTCTAGTAAGTGTACTTGTATGAAAGAATCGTGTGTTTTTGTCGCCATAAATGAGCCAATTCACTCTGGACTTTTGAAACCAAAGAAGCTCTTCTTGCCAAAGCATATCCTCCAACTCTTCTCTTGTGTCCTGTTCATCTTTGAGTGACTGTGAGCTGGGGTTGCACTCATTCTGCCATTCAAGGCTCTCTAATTTCCGCTGTAGCTTCTTTTTCCTTTTTTTTTAATTTCTGAGTGATATCAATGAAGGATAATAGTTAAACTTACAATTCTACCCAGGACCCCTAAAAGACTCTAAAGAATCCACCCCAAAAAAATCAAAAGATTCTAGCTCTAAACGAGACAAAAGCAGTGCTTTACGCGCCACTCAATGGGCAGCACTGTTGGCGGACCAAGGTACCGCCCTAAACTATATACAAACAGACAAAGAGCTAAGGATCGGATGACACTCTCGTAACACCGGAACACCAAACGAGTCTTCTATGACGCCTTGACTGACTTGATTGACAACCACTTCGGAATCATCTTCGACTATCACACGGGTCAAGGATCTTGAGGCTACGATGGAGATAGCGTCTCTAAAGGCTAGAAGCTCTGCCAGGTAAGGACTGACTATTCCTTGATGTTGCAGCTCGAACGCCAACACCACATGCCCGTCTGACCCACGGATAACAAGCCTAGACGAACACCCGGTGGCACAAACAGCAGCGTCGAAGTTGATCTTCAAAAAGTCTTCTGGCGGTGGGACCCAAGAGGAATCCGGATGGTTTGGGGGTAGAGAGTTGTGGGGTGGAGGAGGAAGGAGAAGGAGACTTCGAGGACCTGGTTGTAGAACTGTCTGGCTAGGGAACGGACATGAGGTTGGTAAAAATCGAAGGTCGCTTTATTTATAGACTTCCAGATTCTCCAAAGTAAACAGACGCATTGGAGAATGTGGAATGGGGAGGTCTCAGAGACCATGACATGTTGCCACCATATACTAAAGATAACAGTCTGGGCGATCTCAATAAAGTTGCTCAATCCCACTAAAGTCCACAATCTGATGGCTATGGGGCATCTGAAATGTTCAATGCTTTCTCGATGTCTCTAGCAGACAGGGCATCGGTTAAGGCAGTTTACTCCACGAGTTCGAAGGGCCGCTACTGTGGGAAGTATGATTTTGAGGCTTTTCCTTATGAAGAATTTGAGTTTAGGCGGGACTTGGAGATTCCAAGTCTTCGATGATATGTACTATCGCTTTTCGACTTAATGTCAATGTTATTTCCAGAGCTAAGTGATAACTCGATTTGACTGTGATAACGAATTTGTAGGGCTACCACTGTAGAAAGAATGACTTTTTCTGAACATTATATTATATTATTGCTGGCATTATAACTTGGAACCGAAGCCGGACTTGAGGCAGTGTACCGAGAATTGAAGAGTAAAGCTTTTCTATGGCCATTTATGAAAAGTTAACGCTGTTAACTCCCACCCCATTAGAAAAATGACACCATCATTAACTTTATAGCTTGAATTTGCCAGTAAATGCAGGGGAGTGGGGTTGGGACTTGGGGGTGCGATTTAGACTGAAATTGTTATGGGCGGCATAAAATTGCCTCTTAAGCTCCGATCGGCGGGAACAATTCGACGATGTCACCGTTTTCAGCCATATGCGGGCTTTAGTATTCAGCTTGAACCTCCAATTGCTACATACTTCTTTATCAGACTCGTCATTAAACCAAACTCGCTATCACAGACTGATTTTTCCAAACTAAAAGAACAATATCCCTTACAAGATTATTTATTATAGGAGTGTCTTTTAACTTCAAACCAATTAATTTGAATTAATAGTAGTATCACAAATTTATCAAAAACCCATGTGGCGGTATTGCCCGTTTACACAAACGGTTTTGGACAATTAATGCCTTCCTTCCAAAAAAATAATAATAATTCAAGGGGATTAATAGGATTAAGAGTTCACCATATACTAAATAGGTTGTTAATATTCCTCTCCTCCCAAAATTGGGAGTTACAATAGGCTATTAAAAATCCTACAGGGTCACTGAAAAAATGCTTCAATATTCCCTTTTATTTACCCTACTTAAGGCTTAAGAAGTAGTTAATGAGGAAATAGGTTAAGAGCTCAATAATGGGCTTTCTAAAACGTTTCTTTCACATTGAATTCGATACAAACCATAGATGATGTTATAATATTCTGATATTCTTACCATCTAAAAAAATGAGATTTGAACCGACCATTAAAGATCATAAAGCGCCATAAAGATGTATTTTTCCATCCCAAAATAAGAAATTAAACCGAGGTCACATAAATGACTCATTTGTAACGTCTCATCGGAGACTTCCTGCCTGACGACGCCAATTGCCGGCAAGGGAGGCCTACTGGTTTTACCGGCAAGGACTTGATGTTATCCAGATTGAGCAGTGATGGTGATCTAACGGGACTCGCCGGATAGCAATACCGGAGAGGCAGAGCAGCTCACATATTCCGTCTGGAGGCTGATGTTTGTCAATAGCCGAATCGCTTTCTGGGTCGCAATAATCATATGCGTCGCCGCCTTCGCCACGGAGAGTGCTAATATCGGCATAGACCAGCGAATTCGAAGCTAGATGAGTAGTCTCCTCTGTTGTTGATCTCGCTGCCGGAGCTTGCGTCACCAACGTAGTGCTCAGATTGTTCTCCATCGGGGCCGAGCGGGAGCAGCATAGAAGAGAGGACAAATGAGGGATCTCATTGAGATCGATCGGGGTCGGAGAAACTAAATTTCCAGCTAAGATCATACATGAATAGTGGTGGGTTTTGATTTGAATACGAGACCCAGAGACAGTGGTGGGCTGTAGGACTAGAGAGCCGGAAGGAATGGCGGGGATAAACGACCAACAGCCAACAGGCCTTTGGTTTTAGAACCATAGATCTTGTTCCTTGCTTTCTCACCGCTCAATTCTCGCCGCGACGGCAGCGGGGTAAACCAGCGACAAGCGCCGTGAACAAAGGGAAATCACCTCGACCACAGCGACTAACGCTGGATTAGTTCTAATAGACCTTGTTCCTTGCTTTCTCATTGCTCAATTCTCACCACGACGGCAGCGGGGTAAACCAGCGACAAGCGCTGTAAAAGAGGAGACAAGCCTAGAAAGGCAATCCCCTGTATCAATCGTCAATTTGATTGAAAAAACACACTGAGGTTGCCGACGAGAGATTGTTTCATGGAGATTGAATTCCAAAGGTGTTCTTATTCAACTTCTTGAGCTCCTTTGTGAGCAGTTTCAGGGATGGAAGAAAGTTGGTGCTTTTCTTCCAAGCTTCAGTGGCAAGAGGAAGGAAATCATCATGCCCTATCCACGCAGCAATGAATTGGAAACGTCTCTCAATTTTACTCTTATCCTCTGGACCAGAGCTGTACGTGAAGATAGCTTTGTGATCAGACTTGAGTTTTGGGAGGTGGTAGGTGATAGTATCAGGGAATCTATGCTGCCAAGCAATATTGCAAATGCTTCTGTCCAGTCGCTCTTTGATCCTTGTTTTGCGTCTGAACCACGTGAAACAGGGTCTTGTAAAGCGGTATCCACCCTATTTTTCTTTCTTTCCCCCTTTCTCCATTTTTCCCTACCATATTGTGGGGAAATTTCCCCACTTTCCCACTTTAGCCTACCACATTGTGGATGGTTAATGGTCCTCGACAGCTCGACCCATGATACCTAGTTACCTAAATAAGCACATAACAATAAATTTCCTAACAGAAACAGAAAGTCAAGCAGGGCGTAGTCATAGAGAAAAGAAAATATTATATAGTTTAGTAGTGGCTTAAGATATAGATATATCCTATGTTTGGCCGAACTTTAAGTGCTTTTCGGTTTCAAAAAGTTGAAGTAGGGCAAAATATCACTAAAAGCTCAGTTTTTGAAAAGTCGAAAAGCGTTTTTTATAACTTAAAAGCAGAAGTTCTGATTTGAAGCTTCTACATAAAACTGTTTTGAAAATACAAGATTATCCTTACCATATTTTAATTTTACATAAGAAAATATAATTTTCATTTATATCATTTTAAAAATAAAATAGATTATAATATCATATTATTTAATATAAATTAAATTTAACAAGATCCATTTTAACTATATTTTATTGTTTGAAATTTTTATTCATAGTTTATATTATAAGTTCTTTATAGTCATTTTACACAATCTCCCAAATTAAAAAATACTTCTAATAGTTTTTTGACCGAACACTCAAATGCTTTTTCTGAAAAGTAGTTTTCTAAAAGATCGAATTAGAAACTGTTTCTACATAAACTATAACAATGCCAAACTAGCTCAGGAAAAAAGAAAAAAAAAACCTTTGTGGTTGGGCCGTGGCACTAGCACTTTGACTATGGGCTCTCTTCTATTGGGTGGAGGAAGTCCATTGTTAGCACCTTACCTATCCCACACATTACATACCCACAGGCCACAAACACCAAAAATGTCCACATCTCTCATCTCATCTTCTAAGCATCTATAAGACACCAGCTCAAATGTGAAGAAGAATGAAGCATCTTTCTGTCTGACTCTCTGCCTTTCCTCTTTTTCCCCAATCCTCTCTCTCTCTCTCTCTCTCCAGTTATAGTTACTATCTGCTCATCCCGATCCGTACTTGTACTTGTGCAATCTGTATGGCCGCCACCTGGATGAGCAGCAGCGGCGGCAGAGGGATCGCGAGCTTGGCCAAGCAACTACTCTTTCGCAACCACTGGATCTCCGCCTCTTCCCCGGCCTGCAGCAGGTTAGTACCCCAAACTTTCTTCCCCCAAAATTTCCTTTTTCTTTACGGTTTGGTAGTTGTTAGAGATCATACATAGTCTAATCCAAACATACATACTAAGCTCGTGCATTCCAGAAGAGTGTTTCTGTACCACGGTTGCGTAATGATTATATTAGCTGGGTGGGTAGAGAATAAATTTTTTGATGGAGCTAGCAATCGTCGGCTATGCCTGTTGTAATTATGGTGAAGCGGGGAGGTGGGGCCGGGGTTGGTTGAGACTTGAGACTTAAAGAGTCAATTGATCAATTAATCATCATCATTAATCGTCCCTCTAGTCGCTGGTTAGTGGTTGGGGAGGAACTTGGCTGGATCTGCAGCTGGTATGTATCGTACCTAATCCTAATCTAACACCCATTTCTCCACCTAACTTTAACTTAGCTTGTTAGGGTTGTTCTCAGCTTACTGTACCAGGGGCGGAGCTAGGATTTAAAGTTCGGGGGGCCGAATTTTTTAATACATTTTATCGTAAAATTAAAAAAATAATATAAATGTTACATTTCAAATTATTATTTAAGATAATTATTAGCACTAAAACTATGATTTGAATTAAAAATTGGGCAACGATATGTTCAACATTAGTAAATAAATTGTCAACAAAAAATAATCATCATTATTTTATTTGTACCATTTTCTTCAATGTTATTATAACAAGACAAAATCCAAAATTACATTTGAAGATATAATGCAGAAGTTGATGAATTTAATTTACTTGAGACATTGGGGAAAAAAAAAGGTAAGGCCAAAAACAGTAAAATGTCTTGTTGTGGTGTATTGAACCCACGTCCACTGACTTAAATGATCACCACTTTTCCGCTAGACTAATCGAAACATAATTACATCTAGTTGCACAATTGCGGTATTTATATATATAGGTTAATTAATACGTAATTTCAAAACTCTCACTGTACTTATACGCGGTTTTCAAAATTCTCGGGGGGGCCGGGGCCCCCTAACCACCAACATAGCTCCGCCCCTGTACTGTACAACTGTTTATGTATCAAGACCAAATTACACCATTAGTACCTATTCTACAAATTACATAAACTATGCATGATACGTTAAAAATTACACTTTTGATCCTATGTATGTACACGACTACACTCTAACATGGATTATGATATGGGGCTTACCTAGTGCTGTGACTTGTGAGCTTGTGTTGTGTTCCATGCCCAGTCACCCCATGGCCCTGTCCTTATCCACTTACCGTCACCCTTTCCACTCACCAGATTATTATTATATATTTTATGAATCAACCGTAATATTGTTAGTTTAATGCTACTAACTTAATTCAGGCATATTCCAAACCCACCCAGCTGAATATTCGTGAATTCTGCGTGTGCTTAAGAGTCAACCCACGACCCTTTGAATTTTACATAGTGGGTTTTATTAATTTAATCAATAATAATAATAAAAAAATCCTTCTTTTTTCGGTCATACTGTACGGATAGAGTAAAATAATTCGGTACTACTAAAGTATGAGAATTAGAGAAGGTGTGCCATTTAAGTAAGAATAGTGCACCCTGTACCACTGAACTCTATTATTTGTGCACCATGTACCACTTAAATTTACTGTCAAGTGTGTTCCGTTAGAGTTGATAGAATATTCTTGGAATATTCGTTTTTTAAATTTCATAATTAGTCTTTCTACTTTTTGTTATTGTAAAAAATCATTTGGTCTTATAAAAAACATTTTTTTATTGTTTATTTGGAATAATCTTATGAAAACTCTGTTTTATACCAAACCAATTTTTGAATAAGAACTTTAGAATCAATTATCATTATAAGTATTTTAAATTATCATTATGTGTTCTAATAATTGAATTATTCCCTTAAACAATTATATCCTATGAATTATGTCTCGATATAGATAATCTGAGAATGCTATATTTAGTTCTCTTACATCATGCTGATCTTGTATAATTTTCTATATTAAATCTCCTTTGTAATTCTGTAATATTGTGTATATATTTCATATTAGTTAAATTTACTAATTGTAATTCTCTTCCTATACTCATATTTTTTTCTAGATTTATTACTAAATGTTGTAGCTTTTATTGTTTACATAGATCTTCTTTGGTCTTGATGTATTGATGGTCGATTAGTGTCTATTTTAACTGTTTTTAGTGGTGCTACTAATTGTATTAGGGGTTTAAATAGATCTTTTAATAATAATTTTATATATTTATCATTATCTTCTAGTATATTTATTATTCTTTCTGGATATCCGTCTATTATTTTTACTAATTTATCTATTTTATTGAAAACATTTCATTAGTCATTATAGTAATACTATGTTTAGAAGGTTTCTAATTTTTATATTAGATAATACTTGTTTAAATATAGTTTTGAATATTTTAATATGACTTTCTTTAATGATACCCGACGTCCTATTTAAATTTAAGTGGTATATTTGTCCCAATTTTTAAATTTAAGTGGTACACGAGATATTTTACCCGTAATAATAATGGTGTTAATTTCATAAGCATCTCCACTATATTTGATATGTCATTTGGGAAAGATGACTGTGACGGCAAATGAATGCATACTTAATTGACCTCCACATTTATTTTATTAATATGGCTTTCCATCTTGTGTTTATCAATCACCCACCCACCGGCCACTGACCCCATGCCTCCCCTAGGCCCTACTGACCACATTGTCCACTTGTTGGTCGGCATGAAACTCATGATCAATTTAGTCACATGTTCCATTAACATTAATTAGTAAGATTGGTTTATGGGCCGAAGGATGCGCCATGGCCCATCCATGGATAGATTAGAATGTAGACGGACACAATTGGATTAGATGGTGGGCTTGGGCTCAATATGAAATTACTTGATCGGGCCAGGTGCAGGCCTGCTACTCTCTGCTCTTTCCGACTGTTAGAATAGCCAGCCGCCACTCTATTAAATTACTAGCTTATTACCCGGCCCGTTGGCCGGATTACTGTATGTTACCCACTTGTGGAATGGGAGAGAAAGCAAGTGAGAGTGAAGGGATTGGGATTCCACTTGATTAGGACCGACCCACTAATCCAATTCTTCTCGACCCGCCCCAACCTACAGGGTCAGAAAGAGTCAATAAGAAAATACGAACGGGGAGGATTAGTCATATATCTTGACTCTTAAGAAGTGGGTCAAACAGGATCAAGGTTGGGTGAGGGCAATTTTTAGCGCTAAGCAGAGTTCTGGGTTGAATACCTTTACTTAGGCCTAGAAATTGGTGCTGATGCAGACTGCAGTTTTTATTATACCATCATCAATCATCATTGAATTAGTCCTGGGCATCCCTCCCCGTTGTCAGTCTGAATTCTAATGATGGCTTCATTCCTTGCACCAGCCATATCAGCGAGTTGCCATCTCGAGCATGATTTGCCTATGTACAAATAATACAATTAGAGTATGAAAATGAATTCAATGAAAAGGAAAAGAGAATTCTATCACATGCCAATAAATACACACATAATAGTTGAAGCTAAGTGAAAGTCATTACTCGCACATCAATTCTCAAAAATTACAGACTAAACATTGGCTAGAATGGCACTGAAACTACCAAGAATCATGGACGAAACAACTTGTCAAATTAAACAATCCTTATACTGAAACTACCTTCTAACTTGAAATAAGACATGATCACAGTTCATAGCTCTCTTCTCACTATGAATTGGTTGCAGCTCGTCCTTATCACTGCCTCTCAAGCTCAATTCAAACAGAATAGAGACCGTTATGTAAGATAACCATATTCTTACTAATCATAATTCCTTTCTTCACTCCATTTTTGTCGGAGAAAAGAGTTATCCCCCTCTCCTGCATTTCCCTTCCCCCCTCTCTTCTCCCTATTCTTCACAAACCGATCCCTAAACCAGCAACAACAACACAAAAATAGCCTTCTCCTCTCCCGTCTCCATCTATTGAACGCGTTGGTGGCAAGACAGGACTGCAGAAGCAAAATTTTCTAAAATCAAACTAAATTTTTTGAAGCAGACTCAACCACGAAAAAAGAGTAAAGCAACAATGCAGTAGAACCCTAAATTTAACTACAATCAAGCACATATCAGCAAGATTTTCGATTTGTCTGAGAGTTAACTACACGGAGAGAACAATTGATGCATAATTGAAATGCTCCAAGCAAGTTGAAGGCAAACCATAACTTTAGAATTTGGTCATTATAATAACCTTCAAGTATTGATGCTTCTAAGAACTATCATGTCCAACCCCCACTTATACAACTACGTAGCCATAGTAATTAGTTGTATAATGAGAAATATTACAAAGAAAACTACATAAACAACCAATGTAAGTAAATATTAAAACTAACAACTGATAAAACTTAAAATCTCTCTATTGGTATAAATGTATCTATTAGTAACTACTATGCAATCGAGTATATATGATTTTAGGCACTGAATAAGAAAAGTATAGATGGCTCACAAATGAAGACGTAGCAACTGAAGGTAGCACACAAAAACCAAAAATAGAAAAAGAGATAAGAAAAAAGGCGAGAAAAAGTCAAACAAAGAAAAAGCCCACATAGGAATACCTCGCTAGCTTTAGGGACTCTCTGCCACAACAAACAACCTTCTTAAAAATCTAACACCCTGAGACATCAAACAAACCTCCCACGACACTAATGTATGGCATTCCTATTGTCCAATAGGTTTGCCCAATTTAGACTTCTAAATAAATGGACTTTTCACCGTTAAACCAAAACTCACAATCATTAACAGTTAATGCAAAGACATACATTTCTGAGGCCAATCACAGCATTTAAGCATAATTTTTAGTAGAAAAGAACAACTAAGTATTTAGCTAAATGATATAATAGAATGGACACAATCTGCTACCTACTAATGATATAAACGTGTACCGGTACCATCGTTGTATCCTGACTTGCCATTTGCAACGGGCACTTTGAAAGACAGCTGCATTTTAGAGAATAAACACCCATAAGGCGTTACGAAACCAAGCTTAATCCAAAATCTTCATATTCCACTTCGAAGACTCCATTTTCAAAAATAAGAGAGTTTAACATGTCAAATCAATCATTTGAAAAATCTCAAACAACTATTAATCAATGCAATATAATGGCACGTTCCAAATTATGTACTTGTAGGAATAATCCCAAATAAATATCAATTAATGCCCCAACTACCTAATGTGCAGAATAGCCCTGGAGCTGTGCTGTTGTTTGCGTTGGTCTACCTTCAAACATAACATAGTTGCATCACGAACCAAAGCAATTAAGCAAAAATCTTCATATTCCAAGTAGAATGACTCAATTCAATTTGGCCAACGCTTTATACATATTGTTTACCCCTGGACCTGTTGCACTTGCGCCTTCAGATCTTCGTGAACACAATACAATTGCGGAGAGGAGGCTGTCAACGGAATAAAAATTGTTAATTAAGTGAATCACCATACAACTAAACAAACGCGCTCTTCTTGATTAGCTATCAAAATAGTGGGGGTCGCTACAATCCATCGGTTGCTCCCTCTGCGCCTAAGTTGTAGATATTAGGTTTCAGTGAGAACTTTGAGTACATGAGGATATATTTTGTAGTGGAGGAGATGACCCGGCGAGTAGAATAGGAAGATTTGGAGAGGCTGCGATGGGCAAAGCAGTTAAAATCGAGATTTTACCTAAAATCGAAAACTGGGGTAAAATCAAAATCGTATAATCGAATCGTAAAATCGTAGGATTTTAAGTACCATATAGAACATAGCATATAAGAATATTAATAAGGTAAATTATTAATATCACAAAGACACATAGCATTTAAAATGATAATTTAGAAGATTTTTTTTCCATGAGATAATTCTCAAGATTAATGTTCCAAAATCACTATTTTAATTGTTATTTAATGTGTAACTCAAAATAATTCATGATGAAGGGATATAGTTCATGGGTTTGGCTCTTATTTTCATGTTATGTCTAGGTTGTTTAACTCAAAGTAATATTTCGACATCGTTTACTAAGTATGATTTAAAAATAAAAATAATTGAACTCCAATAAAATAAGTAATGTTAGTGGCTTGGTACAAATATATTCATTAATAAATTAATTAGTTAATAATGATGTTAGTTCTTAGTTCTTACATACTTCCAATATTAGGACAGGTGTTTTACCAATAAGTTAAATGGGGTGAAGGGAAAGAGATTAACCGAACCCTAATTTGGTTATTTTTATTATTTTTGAATATTTTTCTAATAGATAAATATCTGAGAAGATTCCATTGCCCTTTCCGCTGAAACAGTTATACTTATTTTAAATTGGCTCAAACCACCTATTTTGTTCACTTACGATCAAAATCCCGATTTCGGTACTATTTTACGATTTTAACGATTTTAGTCCCGATTTTAAACGATTTTAAGGTCCACCGATTTAAGGGATATAGACCTGTCATTGTCCTACAAATTCATTAACACGCCAAAAAGTGGTGAAATGAGTCACCCTATTAAACACAATCTTGTATAATGATCATTGGATCCAATCATGCCAGATTATGAAGAAGTTTAAAATGTAGCGGTTATCCCGACTAAAACATTAAAAGAACCAGTCTCATATAGTTTGCACAAAGACATAATTTCTCCATAGTAATTCTGAAAAATAATATTAATTTAAGAAGTTGATATTGCTTCTACATGTTTAATATTGCAATTCGATATGCAATATTCGAACCAGTGATATTTGGGCTGCAATTTTAGGGTTATTGTATATTTATAAAATAGATAGAAATTTAAATTAAGTATTAAACTACAACTAAAATAATCAAAGTATTAAAACACCAAATAAGTACTTACGGGAGATTCAGTGGCCAACTAATCGTTAAAAAAGTCATATGATTTTCATAATTTAGGTTCGTGTATGTTTGAATTTAAATAGATACAATAAATATACTTAGTGTGATTGGTTATGATCATTGCTTGCCTTTAAAGAGACCAATGTTCAAATCCCAGTGCATGCCTTTTTTATGAATAAATAAATAAGAAAATAAGCAATTGTGAAGACCAAAATGTCCTTCCTATAATCACTCTCGTTGCAGGAAATTTGAAATGGAGCAACAGTTTTCATCATTCGGCTTTTATTTATTATCTAGACTAGAAATGCGAGCCAGCCTGACTGTCTGACTGAGACGGTGTTTCTTTCTTGCCTATGATTTGGTAGGGGGTTGCATTCGGCCTACGAGAAGAACGTGGAGGGGGCGGATCACCATCATCACGATGATCAGGTGATATTCCGGCAGCCGCAGCAGCAGCTAAAAGAGGAGGACAAGTTCTGCTACTGGGAGCCTCACCCGCACACCGGAGTGTTCGGTCCGGCCGCCGCCTCCGGAGGAGCCGGGGCCTCGTCGGGCAGGGCTTCTACCATTGATGGTGGTGGCGCTGTGCTGGAAGAGAAGGCCTGGTTCCGCCCTACCAGCCTCGAGGACTTGGAGAAGCCTACCCACCTTCCTTAACAATTGACGATCATTCATCCACAGACCACAATAGTACTACTAATATATATGTATCTTCATCATTCATGATAAACGCCTAGCTGTTTGGAGGTCGCATATATTTGGCAATAATGAGGCCCTAGCTGTGGCTAGCTTCACGGGCTGGCCACCAATCTTATCTTAATTAGTATGTTATAACGTGTTCGAATGAATCATTTCATTACGTATGTACGTGCTTGGACTGCTGTGCTGTGTATGTACCTTCATTTGTGAGCGTTTGCTCATTTGTCATCTACTACTTTAGTATTGTACGGATGGTGATATAGTGTTGAATCATATTTACTCTGTATTCATATTGAACTATTGATCAGTTATTTTCTTTGAACTCTAGCTAGTTTCGTGAGTGAGCAATGCCATATCGACCCGTAAATAAAACTCACGGAAAAGTATTCAATTCAGACCGATTAGGTTAACTTGGATAAAATTCAGGGTTGACGAGTTTTAAAATGATTTGTCCAAATTCGATTTGATTTTCACTTTACTTGTACTTGAAAAGCAAAACGACATAATTCAATTACATTGACAGTTTATGGATGATATATTATATTTTACCGTAATATAGTTTTAATAATATGGATAATTTATAGATGTTATTAGTCTTTTATGACAATACAGTTGTAGAAAGAAAAAAAAAATCCCCGATAATTGTTGTAGAGAAAATTTTGATAACATAGGAATTTGGAAGTATTTAGAAGAATTATTAGTGATTATATCGGTTAACTTATAGGTGCACCATACACGTATACTCGTAGATACTTGCTCATTTTCATTGAGTTTTCACTTCTAAAATTCCATAAATGTTTTGCACATTTTTTTTTATGGACACACCTGGTGAGTTGGGTTTAAGTTTGGAGAAATCAAGCTAGCAATTGGTACGCTTATGGTTAACCGAACTGAAATTTACTGTTAACCACAACCGAAATAGAGTCATATATGCTAACCGCAAATGATTAGTGGTTAACCTCTAATTATAAAAGTGCGATTAACCATAGTGTAAACCATTTTCACCGTAACAAGGTGTCGGATTGAAGGTGTCAGTGTGCTACGACCGAGTGATATAAAAGAGGTGTACATCCCGTGGTCGATGGTGTCAAGCGAGAAGCTTTTGTATTTCAAAGAGTGGATTTCGAAGACGGCAACATGCAGGGAGGAACTGGAAAGACCTCCTAACTTTTTATTCGATTTGTGGTTAAACACAAACCGTGCGATTAGTTTATTTGGTTATTGTTTCGATTAAATCATTAACCGAAAAAACAGCCAATATCACTAACTGCCACCGCACAAGAGACTTATTGTTCAGTTTGAAATTTTAACTACAAATTGTACTGTTTCGATGCTATTAGACTAAATCCAACCCAAATGTGCATTTTTAGCCTCCCAAACTCTCAAATGTGCATTTTTACCTCCCAAAAACACTTTTTTGCTCCAACCCTAAACCTTCTAAATTTGCCTTCCCAACTCATAACCAACCAATCAAAAATTAAGAAAGTAAAAAAGAAAAAGAAAAAAGAGTAGCCGCTGGAAAGTGGAGGGCCCCATCGTGCCCCTGCATGTGGGTTTTGGCTGCCGCATGGTCCCTACCTTCTCCTTGCATTTTTCCATTTCAACTGCCATCTATCCACTCCCAAGCCCACTTCTCCAAATTTGAAAGCCAATTTTTATGTGGATTGGAGAGGAAAAAGTGGGAAAACATCCCTTTCTCCAAATTTGCATCCTTGGGTTGGAGTTAGTCTTAGCTATTTAACCATGAAACCACAACTGTATTGCCATCTCTTGTTGCTCAAACTAGCTGGGTGGTGGGTATTTGACAAATGGCCCAACTACAGATGATAGATTATGGAAGACTCCCGGGTCCATCTATCAATATCTTCTATAGTGGGCTGGCCCGAACCATTAGCTAACGAAGGGGAAGAAATGAAGCATGAAGGAGTAAGAAAGCCTGCCTCAATCAAAGAAAAATATCCGACGAGGAGGAATGATAATGGCAGGTAGCTGCCGTGTGCTGTGCTCTCAGTCAGGAGGGAGGATATCGTTTCACACAGTTTCCCAATAGAAGGAAGCTGTAAAGTGAACTGAATTCGACAATGGAGTGCCCAATTTCCCGCCGCTCTCATCTCTCAGTCCCACTGTTCTTATCGTCATCCTCGTCGTAAAATAATGGCGGGGAGCAGGGGAATGTTGCTTCCCTTTCAATTCCCATCATCCTCTCCTCCTCCACCGTCTGCCCGCTTCTCCGCCGCCACCGCCCCTCCGTGTTGTTGCTCTTCTACTCCTTCTTCTTCTCCTCCTCCTCCGGCCTCTCTGGATTCAGAACCAGACAGCCTCCCTCCTCGCAGTTTCACCTACTCTAGAGCTTCCCCTTCCGTCCGATGGCCTCACCTTCAACTCCCTCTCTCTACACCCTTTCTTCCTCCACCAACGTCCGCTCCTCCTGCTCCGCTTCAAATTCACGATGACAGCGACTACGAAGAGGAGTTAGAAGTAGAAGAGGACACTGCCGCTTCCAATCCTTCCTCCCAATCTCTCTTCTCCGATGAACATTCGCCGTCGGCCGCCAATCCTTCACGGAACAAGGTCAAGAAGATGAATAAACTGGCGCTCAAAAGAGCCAAAGATTGGAGGCAGAGGGTCCGTACCTTAACCCAATCCATCCTTGAATTGGGTCCCGACCAATTCGTCGCCGACGTCTTGGACCACCGCCGCGTTCAGATGACCCCGACTGACTTCTGCTTCCTCGTCAAGTGGGTCGGCATCCACAGCTGGCACCGCGCTCTGGAGATCTACGAGTGGCTCAATTTGCGCCGCTGGTACTCCCCCAACCCGCGGATGCTGGCCACCATCTTGGCGGTCCTCGGAAAGGCCAACCAGGAAGCCCTGGCTCTCGAATTGTTCACCAGAGCCACCGCCGATCCCTCCTCCGGAGACACCGTCCAAGTCTACAACGCCATGATGGGTGTCTATGCCCGCTCCGGCGCTTTCCAGAACGTCCACCAACTGCTTGAAACAATGCGTCAACGAGGCTGCCAACCTGACCTTGTCAGCTTCAACACCCTCATCAATGCTCGCCTCAAAGCTGGTCCTTTCACCCCCAACCTCCCCATTCAGCTCTTGGACGAGGTGACCAGGTCTGGGATTAGCCCCGACACCATCACCTACAACACCCTCATCACCGCTTGCTCCCGCCATTCCCACCTGGACGAGGCTGTGAAGGTTTTCCGCCATATGGAATCACGTGCTTGTCAACCTGACCTCTGGACCTACAATGCCATGATCTCAGTCTACGGCAGATGTGGGCAAGCTTCCAAAGCCGAGCAGCTTTTTAAGGAGTTGGAGGGTAAAGGGTTCTCCCCTGATGCCGTCACCTACAACTCCTTGTTGTATGCTTTCGCCAGAGAAGGGAATGAGGCCAAGGTGAATTCGGTTTGTGATGAAATGGTCAAAATGGGGTTCCACATGGACGAGATGACCTATAACACCATTATCCATATGTATGGGAAGCGTGGTCAGCATGACCTTGCATTACGCATTTACAGAGACATGAAATCAGCTGGTCGGAATCCTGATGCTGTTACATACACTGTGTTGATTGATTCACTTGGAAAAGCCAGCAAGATTGAAGAAGCTGCTGGCGTGATGTCTGAGATGTTGGATGCTCAAGTTAAACCCACTCTTACAACTTACAGTGCATTAATCTGTGGGTATGCCAAGGTAGGGAATCAAACTAAAGCTGAAGAAACTTTTAACTGCATGGTTCGGTCTGGAATTAGACCTGATCAACTAGCATACTCTGTGATGTTGGATATCTTCCTTAGATCTAACAACACCGACAAGGCAATGGTGTTGTATAGAGAAATGGTCCGTGATGGTGTTTCCCCAGATTGTACCCTCTATGAAGTAATGTTTCGATCTCTTCAAAATAAAAAAAGAGCAGAAGACATTAAAAGCGTGGTCAGAGATCTAGAACATGTGTGTGGTCTGGACTTGGATACCATATCTTCTCTTCTTGTCAAGGGGGGATGCTATGAAGAGGGTTCAGAAACGCTGAGGCGAGCCATTGTCAATGGCTCTGACGTTGATCAGGAGGATCTTTTATCTATATTGAGTTCCTACAGTTCATCTGGAAGACTTGCTGAAGCAGTTGATTTGCTTGATTTCTTGAAGAAACATGCTTCTACGTCCAAACAGTTAATAACAGAAGCTTCCGTTGTCGTGCTGTGCAAGGCTAAGCAAATGGAAGCTGCTCTCAAGGAATACAGTGATTTGCAACAGTTTGGAGGAGGGCCTTCAGTAAGTTCTGTGGTTTTCGAGTGCTTAATTGAATGCTGTGAAGAAAACAATCTATTTGGTGAAGCCGGTCAGATATTTTCTGACATGAGAGCCAACTGTTGCACTATCCCTGACTCTACCTTCGAATGTATGATACTCTTGTATTGTAAAATTGGCTTCCCTGAGACAGCACAACATTTGATCGATTTGGCAGAAATTAAAGGTTTGCTGCTGCACAAGACCTCTATTTATGTAGAAATTATAAAATCCTATGGTAAGTCAAAGCTTTGGCAGAAAGCAGAAAGGTTAGTAGGGAATGTAAGACAAACAAGTGCAGTTCTAGACAGGAAGATCTGGAATTCCTTGATAGCTGCTTACGCGGAAAGTGGATGCTACGAACGAGCAAGGGCGGTCTTCAACACAATGATGAGGGATGGCCCTTCTCCTACGGTAGACTCCATTAATGGCCTTTTACAGGCTCTGATTGTTGATGAGAGACTGGATGAGCTTTATGTGGTCATCCAGGAGATGCAAGACATGGGTTTCAAAATAAGCAAGAGCTCTATTCTTTTGATGATTGACGCATTTGCTAGGAGTGGGAACATTTTCGAAGTGAAGAAAATATATCAAGGAATGAAGGCTGCTGGTTATTTCCCTAGCATGCATCTTTACAGGGTGATGATTGAATTGTTATGCCGAGGGAAAAGGGTAAGGGATGCTGAAGTTATGGTTTCTGAAATGAAAGAAGCAGGTTTCAAGCCTGATCTTTCGATATGGAATTCAATGCTCAAGTTATATGCTGGAACTAATGATTTCAGAAAGACAACTCAAATATATCAGCAGATTAAAAATGATGGACTTAATCCAGATGAGGAGACTTACAACACATTGGTCGTAATGTACTGCAGAGAATGTCGGCCAGAGGAAGGTTCATTGTTGATAAGTGAAATGATAGGGTTAGGACTGGAGCCTTGGTTGGGTACCTACAAAAGTTTGCTCACTGCGTTTGGTAGGATGCAATTGGTACAGCAAGCTGAGGGACTA